CAGATGTATAAAAAAGCATTTGACAAAATCCAACACTCATTCATGATTTTAAAAAAAAACACACACACACTCAGCAAACTAGGAATAGAGGATGAAGGGGACCAAAGACTTGCCACCTTGAAACTTCCTTTTAGAATATTGATTTTAAGCTGTTATTAAGAAACAACAGGTTCTTGGTGCATTACACTTAACTCCTGGCTTGTGGGGGCTCTTTTGCTCCTGCTTCCCTGCATTCATCCATACACAATGGACAAATGGACTACAGCTAACCTGATGTTATTATACTGGGCCCAGCTGCAACACAGAATGGAAACTCTGGATTTGACTCTGCTTCTAACTTTACTGAAACTCCAGCTATATTTTTCTATGACTGGACTAAGGGAAATGGGACTTGAGAAATCCAGGGATGTGATTCCATGAAACTAAAGCTTTCTACAATTAAAAAAAGAAACAAAAGACTCGGGGGGGGAAAAACCTTTCACCCCTTTCTTGCCCAAGAGATTCAGATAAAAAAAAACCTGCTACAGGAAGGAAATCTTACCATGTTTGCCTTAGCCTAATTTGAAATAAGTATGGTAAATAGAAAGGCTTCAGGTAGGGGTCTGTTAACTAGATGGGGTCTGTGTCACATTGTTTCTTAGTTGCATAGCAAGGATTTGCATGACACGTGTTCTACTCTTCCTCAACTACCTATAAATCACCCATTATCATTTCTGAAATCTAGTATCTTGTTCCTTCCCTTTTCTCCTTTGTCCAAAATGTCACATGTACCCAATATTATCTCACTGTTTATGGAATTTTCATACTTATGTAAATTCCCCATACACATGTACTAAAATTTTATTTTCTCCTGTTAATCCTGTCCCTAAATTAATTAGCCAAGCTAGAAAAAGTTAGGAGGAGGAAAAGTATTACTTTTTTAGCTTCCACAAGAGGAAATTTCTCAACTTGATAAAAACTATGTACAAAAACCCTACAGGGTAACATCAAACTTAATGGTGAAAATCTCAAAGGTATCCCCTTACGATCAGGTACAAGGCACGGATATCCCCTCTCACCTTCCTTTTCAACATTGTACTGTCTCTGCTAAAGCAATCAGGCAAGAAAAGGAAATAAAAGGTATAGAGATTGGGAAGGAAGACATAAAACTATCTTTGTTCACAGAAGACACACTCATCTAGGTAGAAGACATGAAAGAATCAGAAAAAACCCCTCCTGGAACTAAGTAAATGATTACAGAAGGTTGAGGATACCTGGTTAATATGAAAAAGTAAAATGCTTTTCTCTATCAACAATGAACAAGTAGAATTTGAAATTAAAAACACAATGCAATTTACATTAGCCTCTGTCAAAATAAAATACTTTTGTATAAATCTAACAAAATATGTACAAGAACTAAGTGAGGAAAACTACAAAATTCTGATAAATGAAATCAAAGGAGAATAAGAGATATCCCATGTTCACAGATTGAAGACCAAATATTGTCAAGATCAATTCTTCCCTACTTGATCTATAGGTTCACACAATCACAATAAAAATCTTAGCAAGTTATTTTGCCAATACTGACTAACTGAACCTAAAGTTTACATGGAAAGGCAAAAAACCAGAATACCCAACAATCTATTGAAGAAGAAGAAAAAGTTGAAGGACTGACACTATCCAACTTTGAGACTTATTATAAAGCTACAGTAATAGAGACAAAAGAACAGAAGAGAGAGCCCATAAGTAAAACCCTATTAATATAGTCAACTGATGTTTGACAAATGAGCAAAGGCAATATAATGTAGCAAAGGTCATGTTTTCCTCATATAGTACCAAATCAACAAGACATCTACAAACAAAAAAATACTGCTTTATTCATAACTGCCAAAACTTGGAATCAAACAAGATATCCTTCAGTAAGTTAATAGATAAACTGAGGACATCCAGACAATGAAAGATTATTCAGCATTAAGAAGAAATGAGCAATCAAGGTATAAAACATATACTGAGAATGCTTAAATGCTAGCACTAAGTGAAAGAGACCAATTTAAAAGATTATAAATTGTATGATTCCAATTATATGACATTTTGGAAAGGGAAAAACTATGGAGATAAGAAAAAGATCAGTTGTTGCCAGGGATGGAGAGGCAGATGATAGAGAATTTTTAGGGCAGTGAAAATATTTTATATGATATTACAATAACAGTAGACCAGCAAGAGTGAACCATAAGATAACTATGGACTTGAGATGATTATGATGTGTCAATGTAGGTTCATCCTTGGTTAAAAAAAAAATTTTTTTAAAGTACCATTCTGGTGAGTGATATTGACAACGGGGGAGACTATGCATATGGGGGTCAAAGGATATATGGGATATTTCTGTACCTTTCTCTCAATTTTGTTGTAAACTTTAAACTATTCTTAAAAAATTAAGTCTTAAACCAGCCGGTGTATCTCAGTGGTTGAGCATTCACCTATGAACCAGGAGGTCACGGTTAGATTCTGGGTCAGGGCACATGCCCGGGTTGCGGGCTTAATCTCCAGTAGGGTGTGTGCAGGAGGCATCCAATCAATGATTCTCTCTCATCATTGATGTTTCTATCTCTCTCTCCCTCTCCCTTCCTCTCTGAAATAAATTAAAAATATATTTTTTTAAAAAAATTAAGTCTTAAAAAATTCTGATTGTTCTGATTGATTCATATCAGAATAAATAAATTTTTCTGGAAGAGAAAGCATACCTGGAGAAGAAAGGAAACTCTTTGGCAGGAAATAAGTCCTAAAATATGATTTTAATAATTTGTTTAAAGGACAAGGCAGAAAATGGAATATACTGAACTATACAATTATTTATATAACATATACTGACTAGCCATATGGTGCTAGGCTAAGTTGTGCATAACCAACAGAGTTTTGAGCTAAATTAACAGCTGCTATATTTAGCCACTAAGTTTTGGAGTGGTTTAGTGGTATCTACAGCAATATACTCATACAACTAATGTTTTTGCTTAAATCTTAATGCTCTAATGTATGCCACAATGACATACACTAAATAAAAATTTGGGATATATCACAATTTTAGTGAAGCGTTAAGAATTAAATTTATAGTATCATTTTCTCCTTTGTTTGTGCTAAATGAACATATTCTGAAAAATGTATTTTGTATTTATTTTTTGTCAGAACTTAGCTAAGGCAAAAGATACTCAAATACCTGCTAATATACTTCCTAGTCAATATTATTTATACCCATATATATTATTATGTACTAGAGGCCCGGTGAATGAAATTCATCCTCTGGTAATCCGGGAACCCTCAGGTAGGGTCCCTAGGCCTAGCCAGTGATAAGGGCCTATCAGGGCTTTCCTTCCCCCAGATGCCAGCAGCTGGCCCCGCCTTTGCCGCTGCCACTGCTCGCCATCTGTGTGGCGCTGCCTGCTCCTCCCCTGCCACCGGTCACCTCCCTCTGAGGGCAACAGGCGTGGGGTGCGAGCACTTGGCTGGCCTGGGCCTCCCACTGCAGGGCGATTGATTGCAGAGCCCCCCATCAATCGCCCCACAAAGGGTGACCTGGGCCTCCCTCTGAGGGGCGATCTTGGGGGATGGCAGGGCCCCCTGACCAATCGCATTACGCCCGCTTTGGCTGGCCTGGCGCCAGTGCTTGTCATAGTGTGGTCATCCAGACGGTCATTCTGCTGTTCAGTCATTCAGTCTATTTGCATATTATGCTTTTATTATTATAGATTATTATAGATTATACCATGTATATAACCCCATACATTATACTACATAAATAAGCATATCCTATATAATAAAATGGTAATATGTAAATTGACTGTCACGCCCTCACACAAGATGGCCACCCCCATGTGGTCAAAGATGGCCACCACAAGATGGCTGGCAGGAGAGGGCAGTTGTGGGCGATCAGGCCAGCAGGGGAGGGCAGTTGGGGGTGACCAGGCCGGCAGGGGAGGGCAATTAGGGGTGGCCAGGTCTGCAGGGAAGGGCAGTTCAGGGTGACCAGGCTGGCAGGTGAGGGCAGTTAGGGGTGACCAGGACAGCAAGGGAGGGCAGTTGGGGGCAATCAGGCCAGCAGGGGAGCAGACAGGTGTCAATCAGGCTGGCTTGGGAATGATTAGGGTGTGATCAGGCTGGCAGGCAGAAGTGGTTAGGGGCAATCAGGCAGGCAGGCGAGCAGTTGGGAGCCAGCAGTCCCGGATTGTGAGAGGGATATCTGACTGCCTAAACCGGCAGTTGGACATACCCCAAGGGGTCCCAGATTGGAGAGGGTGCAGGCTGGGCTGAGGGACAACCCCCCCCCAGTGCACGAATTTCGTGCACCGGGCCTCTAGTGTATGTATGTGTATATAGATCAGCGGTTCTCAACCTGTGGGTTGCGACCCCTTTGGGGGTCGAACGACCCTTTCACAGGGGTTGCCTAAGACCATGGGAAAGCACATTTATAATTACATATTGTTTTTGTGATTAATTACTATGCTTTAATTATGTTCAATTTGTAACAATGAAAATACATCCTGCATATCAGATATTTACATTACAATTCATAACAGTAGCAAAATTACAGTTATGAAGTAGCAACAAAAATAATTTTATGGTTGGGGGTCACCACAACATGAGGAACTGTATTAAAGGGTCGCGACAGTAGGAAGGTTGAGAACCACTGATATAGATAGATAGATAGATAGATAGATAGATAGATAGATATAGATAAAGCCCATATATTATATGATAGAAGTCAAGTTTTGCTTTGTTACATTTTCTAATTGGTACACTGTAACACACAAATCAACAGATTAAAGACAGAACATTATTATTGTGGATTTAAGGATATTTTTATAACTTCAACATACTTATGGCCTATATGGATTAATTATTACAACCACACCTGGCAGGAACCATTTCCTCTAATTATTTATACCCCAAAAACATGTAAATTGATGTACTATTAGTACTTTACTACCTTTCATATCATCCTTCTAACACAGAAGAAAATTGAAAAGTACCTTTAATCTTGCTTCGCAGATATTTTAAGACTTCTTGGGTTCCTTTCTGAAAAGGTGGAAAGGCACATACTCACTAAGACATCTTAAAAGTTTTATACATCAACACATATGTATAAATATCAAATTTAAAAACTGATTCCCAAATATGCTTACATTTATAATTTCTCTTCGAATGGTTCTCATAGGATTTCCTTCTAGTGCCAGGAATTTCAAATGAAGTTTTCCCAAAGAATAGGGCAGACTACAAAAGATTAAATTAATTTCAGGGAAAACATTAAGGGTAAGAATAATTTAACCATATAGTTGATTATAAAACTAACAACATATAAGTAAGTGTCAAAGAAAACCCAAGTAACATAGGCCTACAATATTTCCCTTTGAGGTAGCTGTACACGTAGAAGAAAAAACAGATTTGTTTGAAATTATCATATTGTGATTGCTAAAAAAGAATGTGAACTATAAAACATTCGCTAAATTGTATTCAGTGCTAAAAGTAAATGGTCAAAATATAAATTTGACTGAATCACTGATTCAAAATAGTTATCCTCACTGATACTAAATATTTTGATTCTGCCCTGAAAGCAAATAAAGTTCTTCCTAAATTAAGACAAAAAGAAAAAAAATTAATTTTAATAGCCCAATTCTTATTTTCACTCAATAAGAAAAGTCATTTTTATCTTTGTCACACAAAAAGATAACCTGTTGAGATTGGATATCCAATCTCAAAATTAAGCATCTACAATTAAATATTTAAAATAGGCATTGGTGTAGGATATCAAGATTATTGCCCTTAAAGAATTCTCAGGGGAAAAGATACATATGCACTTAACCAAAATATATATTGAAATTATCTTATGTTGCTGGTGAGCATTTAAATTAGTACAGCCACTCTGAAAAGCAGAGTCTTACACTTAACATACAACTAAGCAATCCCACTCCTACAGATTTACCCAGGAGAAATGAAAATAATGTCCTTACAGAGACTTTTACATGACAGTTCACAATAGCCAATAAAATGAAAATAATTCAAATGCCCATCAACTAACTATGAAGAGAAGAATAAATTGTGGTATAGCTGTATAATGGATTAACACTTCATTATAATGAAAATGAACTGCTGATACACACAATCGCATGAATGAATCACAAAAGCCATACGCTTCTCTCTCTCTCTCTCTCTCTCTCTCTCTTTCAATATCCAGAGCTCTGGAAAAAGAGGAACATATATATCAGAAATATTTCTACCAATTACTTTATTTATTTAATATTATGTATCATAGTCTTTGTTTTAAATATTTGCTTTCCATTGCTTTTATGCAGTAGCCAAAATAAAACTGCCATGAGGAAAAACTTACATGTCAATATCTATGAGGCAAGAGATTTATTTCATTCACTAGTTGTTTGGTAAGCACTTTAAGGGATATCCAGGCCACTTATTAAAACTGTCATGAGTAGAAGTGAAAAGTGTTGCTCTCCAAAGTTGAAAACAACTTTGATTTTTTAAAACACTATTAAAATATACACATAGAAGAAAATCTGCCTTGCCTAACCTTTCACCTTCTATAAGTAGCAAAACTTGTTTTTGACATCCAAACACAAAACTTCAGACATCTAACTGGTATATAATTCCACGTAAGTCTGAGTCATATTTTTGTATCTGTAGAAATAATTCTATCTCTAAATACAATAGGGGCAAAAGTAGGTTTACAGATGTTCAAATGGAAAATAATACAATAATCTACACTAATAAAAGAGAAACATGGTAATTAGCGTACGACCGCTACCCTTTTCATTGGCTAATCAGGGAGATATGCAAATTAACTGTCAGCCAAGATGGCGGCCGGCAGCCAGGCAGCTGATGTGAACAGGGAGGCTTGCTTGCTGCAGTGAAGGAGGACTCCAACGTTCCCCGCCTGCCTTGCCGGCCTCTGAGCTTCAGTTGGAAACATTGTAACATTTATAGAAGATAAACAAAACCCCAGAAAGCCCCTGTCAGTCAGCCGGGATCTCAGAGCTGGAGTCGCAACATTGTTTCGAATACAGAAAACAAAGGCCAGAAACCTGCTTTCAGGAGCCGAGCCTCAGAGAGAAAGCCGGCTCTCAGCTCCAGTGACAGCCATAGAAGGTAAATAAATGCCAGAATAAAAAAAAAAAGAAAAAAAGAAGAGGTTTGGAGCTTCAGTCGCCTGCCAGCCTGAAAATGCTCCTCAGCCCCTCACCCAGACTGGCCAGGCACCCCAGTGGGGACCCCCACCCTGAAGCAACAAGATGGCGGCTAATTTGCATACTGAAGGCAGGCGGCAGTAGGCAAGACTGTCTGCGGACTGGGACCTGGATCTGTGATCCTGCCGGGCGGGGGGCAGTGCGGGAGGCTGTCCGCAGTCCAGGACCCGGATCTGTGACCCTGCCGGGCGGGGGGCAG